TAATGTTTAGTCCAGTTCTGTCTGTTAAATATCTAGGTGTTTTTATGTGAATGTGGGTCTTTTAGATCAATTTTTGTGATTTTGATCATGTTTCACATTTTATTGTCTCGACTTCCCTTGGTCTTGGTCTTGACTTGGTCTCGGACCCTAGAAGTCTTGGTCTTGTCTCGGTCTCGGGTTAGGTGGTCTTGACCACAACACTGCCGTGTTTTGTTCTTCAAGCTGCTGTCTTCATCTAATCTTTCTTCCAGCTTTTTGTTGCTTCATGATTTTCTGTTGTGTCCTAAAAGTCCTTCCTTTGAACCTCTGTTTTTGGTTAGTGTGCAATAATGATCCTTATTAGAAGCAGAAGCAGATTCCTCCTCTACATCCTTCAGTAATTTGTCTTGTCCCATCAGTCTGCTCTCTACCATGCAGCTCTCTGTTCTCTTCTCATGACTATTTCAAACCAGCTCCAGGGGGAAATCATCTGCCTTTTTGGAGTCTGTAACCAAGAGAAGCAGTGTTTTACACTGCTGTGTTAAAAAGAGCCACTGAAACCTGGTTTAAAAAAATGCAGACATTTTTTCTGACTATTACGTAATAAAAAAAGTAAACCCCAATATAAAGGTATCTAGAAAGCAATGAAATTGCATTTTTTTTTAGTTAAAATCAAACCGTGATGTTTTAAATTAATGATTGAATCACATCATTTTAATCTAAAACATTTAATCTACCACACTAATTAATCATTATTACATTTTTCCAGAGTAAAGATTCTGAAAAAAAACAACAACTTTTTATTCATATTCTATTTGATTTAGGATGTTTTTTTATTTTTTGTAATTATACACATTTGAAAAAAATTCTAAAAACAATTTTTTAACATTTAAGTGTGTAGAAGAATTCTTCATTTATGAAAGAAAAAGCATTAGTCAGTTCTGCACTACTGCAATTCAATAAAGAAGTGTTTTGTACTACTCTGATGAATCCCTGAACAATCAACCGTGATCTTTATTTAGTTGGAAATATTATCAGAGCTGAAACATGCCACTGATCACATTTTTTAGGCTCATTAGAGTTGGACAGTAAATGCACTCAAATTATATCAACATTTATTCAGACACCAGACCTTGGGAGTCTTCACATTTAGAAGATCTACAACTAAAACCCTTAGTTATTAGTTTATCATCAAACTCTTATGGGAAAGAAAATGAACTAACATAAATCATATTTAATATTTGTTTTGGAAAAAAATTCCCAATTGTTATAAAATCTTTCTGCCTCAGCCAAAGGATTCAGGGTGAATTTAGCATCTGCGCTGTAATTTGCAAAGCATGTGTGTTGTTCTGCAAGTTCTTCTTCTCTTCCCCAGGCTTTCTCACGACGTGTGAAAAGCTAATTGTGGCAGACTTAATTCTAATGATATTCATGCCACAGGAGCTGCTGTGACCCAAACACCTTTAATCAAAAGTAAGAGTCGCTGGGAAGCCTGTCAGCTGTTTGCAGCATGTGACGTCTGATTCTCTCTCTGTGGTGTGAAAAGCTGGAATTAAAATGATTCTCTCCCCTGTAGGAAACAGCACATTCAGGATTAAATGATGTTCTGCAGATCTATAATATTTGGTGTACCTATAATATTTTGGGACAGGCATTGGTGCCCGTGGTGGGAGCCATTCATGTCACTGCAGTGTGACCATTAATTGTAGCTGAACATTTAAAAACTGTACCTTTAAAGACCAATAGAAAATAAGAGTGGCTTCTTTTCCAAGAGACACGTTGTCTTCAAACAGTCCAAAGGGAACTGCAAATAGTTGGAAAATGTTCAAAGACACAACAACAATTGAGATGATATATTAAAAAAAAAAAAAAAAAACTCCCTGGATCTTACATTGGAAAACAATTCTGCCTAAAGAGATTAAACCTAGTCCTAAGTAAAGTGGTCGAAGTAATAGTAGGAGCCAAAATCCAAACCACTGAATCAGAAATGACTACAGTCAGAAACTAAATTAAGACTTTATGTCATCTCTGCTACAGTTATTCTCAGTCGATTCGGTTCAATTTTTCTAATCACTAATAACATTTTCACAACATTCAGTTCAACCTCCACAACATTTAGTTTCTGAGACCAGTTTCTAAGTCCTTCCAACAAATTGCTTATGTTTGTGGACATGCATGAGTTGCTTTCATATGACTCTTTGCTGTTTTATAACATTATCATTAGTTTGTTTAATTGTACTTCTGAATGCTGGATGATATAAATCCATAAACATTACTAGTCCTTATTTTATTGCATCAGTCATTACATAGAAAAAAGTTTACCTTGCCAAAATTAGCTTTCAGAATGAGAGAGTTTTAAGCATGTTCTTTGGAATAAATTAAGTTTTCACCCTTTTGATGTGAAGAATCAGACAGTAGTGCTCCCTCCCAACTCATCATTCCTAAACTGGATAGAGTGGTTTTAATCCTTCTGGAGGAGGTAGGTACATGACCAGCATTCCTTTACATGACTACTTTATTCTCAAGAACGAGTTATACATTTTGGGAAAGTGACCACGTTTTTGCAGAGTGACAACCAGGTTCTGTAGGTTTATAACAACCATTTTGAAATCTGCATTAACAGTTATGCAAAAATTAAATACTCATGTGAGAAATCCATCTAAATAACTGAATAAACCTTAATAGAATAAAACATGTGTAATGTGGCTGTTTTTCCTCATTTGTCGGATTCTTGGAATATATTTCTGTTATGTCGTTGAGGAACTTTTATAATTTATAATTTCTCTCAATTCTGCAAGTCTTACTCCCCTAGTTCTGGATATCAATCTGTTTTCCTTGAAGTTTTCTCTTTTATAACTTTCTGTCGGGGGAAAAGGGGGTTCACCTCTGGAGAAACAGCAGAAATGAAATGTGTCTGAGAAATAGAAAACTGTGTGACACTTTGAAGTTCACAACTACAGTATAGAGGCATACTTATTTCAGTCTATAATTAAAATCATCATAATTAAAAGTCACAACTCCTTATCAAGCTTTGAACTCCAAACTTTTGAAACAAGTGCAGAACCTACTGAGAATTAGTTGAAAACATTGTTAAAATAACTGATTCTACTTAGATAATGAGGATCCAGTGTGCTCCTTTTCTCTGGAAGGCAGTTTCCAGAGTCTGATTTAGATATATGCCGACTCATTAATATTATCTTACCTGAGTCTCTCAGTTCAAAGATATTTCTCCACTTTTAAAAAGAATGTTTTGCTTAAAGAATATTCACCTCCTTGGGGTCATTATGTAAATAAATGAAGTACTCGGCTTCCCAAATTAGAGGAAATTCTCATTGATAAATTGTATTAGTTAAGATGAGTCTCACCTTAATACACTTCCAGCAACTCAGGGTACAGTAGCCCGAGTTATGCAGGGGGTCCTAAGTTCAGTGATCCCCCTCACCCAGTGTGTTGCCCAAACCCCCTAGTCGTTCGGTATCTTTCCCTATGGGATCCTGTGATCAAAGGGAGATAATGGCCTTCCAGCTAAAGAGCCTCCTGAAAGTGCAGGCTTAAGATAGAAACATCCACCTCAAGTTTATATCGAGCCAATCTGGAAATCAAAGGGAATACTTTTTAAATAACCTGGTTGGAACTGGGTCTAATATACAAGTTTAAGGCTTAGATGAAGACAATAGTTTTGCTGACTCTAAAAGTTCAACTGGACCAAAGCAGTCTAAACACGGTTCAGATTCTATGGGTACCTCAGTTGCTGCCTCACCTTCCAGAGATAAACCAATCATATTTGGAGGAGTGCTAATGATCTTATTTTAAGAGTTGTAATTATTAACTGCCTTTGGAGTAATCAGTGATTCAGACTGAAAGATTCTTGCTACACCTCCTCCTCGCCCAGAATTTCTGTAAATAAGAAAATGTAAATAACTTGAATACTGTCTGTAGAATGAATCAAATATACATTTAATACAACTTTCTATCAAACTCAATTGACAAGAGTTCATTTGGTTTTACGAAATAATGATAATAATAATAATGATAATATGATTGATTCCTTTTGTCATGTTATGACTGACTGCACATTATGCTGCTTGTAAAATAACCTCCTACTCCCTTTATTGCATTAATAAAATTGCTGTTGGTGTAAAGACAGTGTGATGGAGCAGAGACATCTACCATTAAAACATTAAAATTTGTATTTAAGTCATTATCTTTTCTAATTCAGCACTACTTTTACATAAATTGGGGGAAAAAATCTGGATTTGGTAAAAACGAAATTTAAATGATTAAGTTTAAGTCATAAACTTAAAAAGTTAAACAGTCTAGACATTTGGAGACCTTTGGAGTTCTCTTTTTTTTCTCTTTTTACAGTAAGATTTGCTTCATTGAGTTTTCTTGGGAATTAGTTCTGTGCATTTGAGGTAGGATGTTATATTTTCCTTTCAATATCTAAGGTATTCAAGGTCTGTCGGTATATTTGGACTTGCAAATTTGACTCTCTCCTCCGCACAACACATTTTGAGTCCATGTGGATCCTCGACACAGAATGAACTAGTTGATGTAACTGGGTTAATAAAGATTATTCCCAGTTCTTGTCTTTATATTCCCAAAATTCCCTTTAATTTACTAATAACGTTTTCAGTAGGTGATTAAAGTATTTTATTTGTACGTTATTTAGCTGCTCTGAAGCCGATTCGTCACCCTGCACAGATTGTTCACACACACCCAGCAGAGCCGCACTAAGTAGATTTGCGCACGGATTTGCTCTTTGCTTCTGATTCGTTCACTGCTCTAAATTGTTCCTGAGCAGGTTGGGAAACGACTTGGATCCTCGCTCTGCTGAAGGAGGCTGTGTGGAACAATTGTAGGAGAAATGTGGAAAAAGTTAGAATCTTGGGTGCGTAAGATCGGATGAAGTCTGTCACTGGGAGGTTTTTGCGCACGGATGGTGTTGCGCTCTAGGAGAACTGCGCGCCTGAATCTGGACCGCTTGTTTTTAGCTGCTTGATTTCTGCTTCATAGATGAAAACCCAACCGGAGAAACCTTTTCCCGGTGGGATTAGGACCTCCTTTGTCTGCGACCAAAAGGGACCATGTCGGACAACTTCACTGATCCGATCAACGAGTCGCTACCTGCGCCTCAGATCGCTCACTACAACTTCCCAGCGCTCATTTTCGGGATTTTGCTGATCATCACTGTTACTGCTGGAAATGTGTTGGTGTGCCTCAGTGTTTATTTGGAGAAGGCTTTAAAAACTACAACGAATTACTTTATAGTGAGTCTGGCTTTTGCGGATTTACTGCTGGCGGTGCTGGTTCTGCCGCTCTTTGTTTACGCAGAGGTAAGATGATGGTCACTGAGAGGCACGGGGCTTGATTTCGATTTTATGCAGTAGTCACATAAAATGTAATGCATAAATATGAAAAGTAGAAACAATGATGCTTTTTATATATATATATATATATATGACTATATATTACTGATAAAAGAACAACTAAAGTGTTTGCGCACACTCAGTCTGTTACCTGATATGTAACCATAATGGTCCTTAAATGTTTCCACGCTTCAGTAGATTTATCTCAGTCCAAATTCCTTAGAGGTTTGTAGCAGAACATGCATTAAACAGCAATGATGCATATGTGTTGTCCTTCAACCAGGCCAAGTTTTCTGCAACAGGTTTTCTTTATCTCCAACAATCCCAATCCCTGCATTCATGCTGGCATTACATTACAAATAATTGGACTGTTTTCCCAACTTTTGCTCTGGATTTAATTTAGGGTTATCAGATTAATGGGGCTGAAAACCAATGCCTGCCACATTTTCCTTTTTTAATTGTAAAAACTAATACAATCATATGTTTTACCTTCTAGCTACCACTTTCATTCTATGCAATACTTTGTGCTAGAATGTTGCATAAAATCTCAGTAAAAACAAAAAAGTTTGTATCTGTAATCCTTTCCGCTGTCACTACATGCATGCTTGGTATCAGGGATTTGTGCAAAGTCAACAACACAATGTAAGCGACAGTCCACTGTCCCTATGGAGTCAGTGACTGAATGTAATCTGCTGGGTTTCTAAAAAAAGACTCTGTAACCAATTTGAATAATAAGCCGAATTTGCCACATTGTGAAGTGCCTTAGGCGATGACATTTACTGAATTAACATGAACTGAATTAATTTGAGTATGAATACTTTTTTTTTCAATTAACTTTATGTCCTCCTGCTCCAGCACAACTGATCCAGACATTTGAATAACCTCCTTAGCGTTTACTCGGATGCTGCAGAAGGTTGGTAATGCATTTCAATGATTTGGCTCAGAAAAACCTTTGAGACCGGAGTTTTGGACCATTATTTGATTGACAAAAATGTGGGGAATTAGACACACAAACCTTTTAGACTCATTATTTGCTTTTATAAAGACACAATACCCAAAACTTTAAAGAGAAAAACATCCAAACTGACAAGAAAAGATACAATGTTGACCAAATTAAAATAAGGAGCCAATAAAAACATTTAAGTTGGACAATTTTTTGGGGAGGGGAAATAAAGAACAGAACAGAACTGATATATAGCCTGGCAATTTACAATGATCGATTAAAACAGGATCTACAAAAACAACCTCTGCAGCTCATGGCTTTTGTGTATATGTGCATCAAGGTTATCCAATTTCTGAAGGTACAATAAAACATGTTCTTATAAAAAAAAACATAAAAGTTCTCCCAGACCTGTTGGGAAATGATCTGATATGTAGAAATGGATGCAAATTACAAAATAAGGCAAGAATATTCAAAAAGGCTCAGCCAGAGTGCTCTATTTCCAGGGTGAAAAAGCCATCAACGCATTTTTGGAAAATTGTCCTGGAAATACATCTGGACTAAAATGAATACAAATATGATATAAAATATCTGCCACCAGCTGGAAAACAAACTGTTCAGTGGTCTAATACTGAAGAACTCCTGACAGAGATTGTAATTAGGATTTAGCTGTGACTCAAACCTCCTCACTAAGATTAATTATCAACAAAGGAACACTGGGATTAACAGTAGCTATGATTCATTTTTACTGTTTATCCAGGTAATAAAAAGTTTAAAAGGTGGAATCTAACCCGTTATTTGAATCCTAAAAGCCACCTGTTTCCTTCCCTGTCTGGAAATCTAAGAGCTGTCCTGCTGAGGCTTCCCTGTAAGTCCCCCTTAATGAGCCCTGTTTGTGATCTTGTTACCTCGCAGCGAGGTAATCTACGGCGTGTCACACTGGTAGTTTGTCCACATGCAGTCACCGGATTAGAAATGCCAGAGTGGACACGGTGGCCTGCTGCATTCCCCTGCACACCGGGTGGAGGAGGAAATGGGCGGACCTGTTGTGTAGCCAGGGTAAAGTTTGTGCATGATAGGAGGATTACACAGCTAATGAGTTATTTTGTCCATGTATGCATGTGTGTGCTATGGGGCAGTTCCAGGGCGGAGTTTGGACCTTAAACATGACAATATGCGATGGTCTGATGACCATGGATGTGATGTTGTGCACGTCATCGATCTTCAACCTCTGTGCCATCAGCGTGGACCGGTATGTAATCCATTAAAATGCTACAGATCTGTTATTCTAAAGGCATTTTGAGGATATCTCAAAATGCTTCTTTAGATTTTGGCCACTTTTTCTCTCATGTTTATATTTATTTATCTATCTATCAGTTACCTACGAAATACTTTTAAGCCCACCTTCATATAGAGTGCAGAGCTCTAAGAACAGAATAAAGTTAACTTATTTTGATTCAGAGGGACCCAAACACTGAGATAATTCAAAAGTTTTGCTTGGAAAAAAATAATGTTTTAAAAGCAGACAGCTCTAAAAACTTAGCCAATATTGGCCAGGAATATAATGTTCATCTAGAGCAGGATGGGCATTCAGAATGCCTCAGGACAAACCAGCCAGTGGGTGAATAAAATACTGTACTGCAAAGTGTTTTAACAATATAAATACTGTGCACCTGTAGAATAAATAACCAATATACAGCTATGGATATTATTGTTGTGAGACGTCCTAGAAATGGTAACTAAAATTTTCAAAAATAAGCAACTCAAAAGGAACTTATGGTCTGAAACTCAAGTTTTAGTAACAACTTTCTCATATATTGAAAAGTGAAAGGAAGAATGAATGTGAGCTACAATAATAATGTGTCTTATGTTAGCTGTAGAAAATTGTTTCTCACCTTCTCTCACTGCATGGCTAGCGACAAGGGTACAGGACTATCCCAGCTGGAAATATCAATTTAAAGAATCGCCATTATCATTAATTCAGGAGTTTACTTTTTAATTTACTACATTTTTTTCGCATCAGTTTATAATATCAGTATATCTTTTAATTTAGAACTGAGAGGAGAAATGTTTAGTGTGGATTTGAATGAAAATGGTTTCCCAACATGCAAACTGTCCAGGTCAAAGTGAGGAGCAGAGAGTCCTTCAAAACATTCTTTCTGCAATATATGATAAAGGACTATTAAATAAGAAGACAGTGATAAACAGGTGCTAATTTTCTCATTACAATGTCAAAAGAGAATTCCTATTTGTTTTCCGGATGGGTAAGTTGTCAGATTTGGTGGATGTTAGTTGAAGACCCAGATGCAGAAAAGGAGAGGCAGATATGATTTCTTGCCGATTTAATGAAGATAATAATAATACAGAAAGAAATAATCCAGAAACAACAGTCAAGGAACTCAGGAATCAAAAATTTTGAGACGCTCAGGGAAACTAACATAGGGAATAAAATTATGCAAGTAAAAAGAATCCAGCTATGAGAACTGCACAGGAGGTGTATATAGCAAAGATATAACAAAAAATGGGCTAATCAGCTGATAGGGAGCAGGGGTCCGTTTCACAAAGCAGGTTTTACAAATTCAGATTCAAATTTGCAACTCTAAATTGATGCAGCCAAAAGTCGGTAACTCTTTGTGTTCGGTTTCACAATGCTGCTATCAATTTGTTCAATCAATTTTAACTAGGTCCACTCAGAATTAAGCGCCTGCGCAACAAGTTTGAAAAGCCATTATAAGCGGAGCACAGATTCGACGAGTCACCATAACAACAGGCAAAAGGAAGTGTCTATTTCACCCCACTGGAACTAGAGATTTTAATGCAGAACTGCAAAAAAATAAAATAAAAAAGGAGAGCGTGTTTTAAAGACAGAGCAACGGCGCTACAGCTACAAAGGAGAGGATGGTGGCATTTATTTAAAGCACTCCTCTCTGTTGTTCCATTTGTAGATCATTAAAATATGATTTTTCTTTATCAAAATCACACCCCTAGACCTAACTGTAAAAATATGTTTTCTAAATTACTTTTTTTGTAGCAGAAACTGAATTTTAGAAAGTAAAAAAACAAAATTATACTAGTAAGAATTAACTTTTATGTATCTAGAAATGTTTACACATTTGAATTGGCTGTTCCAGCATTTATCCCCTTGACTTAAAAATGTATTCATGATATTTCATGATATCATAAATACACTTATATAACATTTTTTCATTCTTAAAATAATACAAATGCTGACCAGTAATATTAGGAATATGGAGATCTGACATTAATTTATGCATCCAGAATGTTCATTCTAGATATAGAGAGTGTAATTTTGTTTGAAACTGTCACTTAGACAAAGAAACATTTTTTTTTCAGGTGTCAGGAATACATATTCAGTAAATCTAGTACATATCAAAATGACTTGCCATAGCTGTTGTTATCATGAAAATATGATGGCATTATTTCTTGAATGATAGATCAAACTATTTATTTAGGTGAAATCATCTGGTAGAAGGTGAAAATGAAGTCTAAAAATGTTCTAATATATAGAACCTGTGGATAATCTCATGTGTCCCTCCTTATGTTGATCCGCTCTTCTTTTACACAGTAAAGTGGCTGTTTGCAGCCAGGCTTTGGATGTTATCATCCCAATAAATGGCCTTTATTAGCGGCTATCAGTCTCATAGAATGGCTTCAGATTGTGCCAGTAGTTGGCTCATTAGGTGGTTATTATCAATTGAGTCCTAATCCTAACCCTAAAATAATTAATTTTCGCCCGTGGAATTAATTAATCTATTTATGTGTGATCTGATATTAATTTAGTAGTTCTTAATGTACTGTAAATATAACTAAATAGAAAAAAAAATGATCTGCATCTTGCTCATATTAAACAAACCTTTAATAAGATCCTCATCAAACTGAGATGCAATTTTTATTATTAAAACCTTATGTGTCTAACAGACCTAGTGAATACCGGTATATATTTTTCAATGCACAAAACTATGACAAAAATCTGACTAAATCAGGAAATAAAACAGCGTGATTGGCTGTAAATAGAAAGGAGACAGAGGACACTTCAAGTTTACTGAAGAAAACCTGCTACCGACCAGGTTAGCTGTGGGGAGAATGTTTCTACAGTGAATGAAACAGAGGTTGAAGAAACTCTCTTTGTGAACCGGAAAAGTCAGAGTTTCCCTGTTTCCAAGTTTAGAAAACTTACTTTTCAGTAAACCTGCTTTGTGAAATGGACCCCAGGTTTGGATAGAAGCACTAGAAGGAAGCTAGGGGAAAGGAGACTGGCACAAGGGGGCCACAGAGAGTAACTAAAAAAAAATACAGCACTCCCTAAATATAACTAGAAAACAACTAGAATGACACAAAATGTTAAAGAAACCATTGACCAAGAAAACACAGAATGACATAAATCAAAGTGTAACAGAAAACTCACAAAGAAACATAAAGAAAAGTCCAGAAAGAGCAGAATCATGACATGAATTGTACTTTTTATAAATGTACAAATTACTATAAATCAGATTTGAGCCATTTTTGGATAGAAAAAAAGATAAAAAGTTAAATGTTGACAAATTGTGAAATATTTAAAGACAATTAGTAAACGTTCATGCAACAAATTAAAACTAAAGTACAAACAGTACATATTTGGAACAACCTATGCAGATTTTACAGGCAACCTAGATGTCACAGAGTTGATGAGGTCAGTTATTAAGAGCTATGAAACTGAAAAAAATGACTCATGAATGTATCTGAATCATCCCAGAGCATGGTTCCACCACCAACATGCCTCAGAAGTGTAACTTTTCTTTTGTAAGATTCACCTCGACTCTAAAACTGGTGCCCTGTAAATCTAAGGTACCGTGGAAATTAATTCCTTCTGATGTGTAAGCTTTAAAATGTTAACACAGCCTAATCTACTTTACCTTGCAAACATTTTCTTCTTGAAATAAGAAAGCTTTTATTTTTTAACATCCAAAATTATAATCTAACTTTTGGAAGAAAAAAAAAAAACAACTCAAACCAGCTTATCTTTGTTTGTATTTAGCAAGAAATGTTTTTAGGTGAATGATGCTGTTGTACAATTTTGATACAAGAATGGCAGTTTTCGGTACACAATCAAGAACCTGAAGATAATTCAACTTTAAGGGGGGTTGATACATCTTCTGTTTATTTGTAGGTTCATTGCAGTGTCCATACCGCTAAATTACAACCGCAAACATGTGGACTACCGCCAGCTCATCCTGCTCTCTGCCACCTGGCTCCTGGCCTTAGCAGTCGCCTCTCCGGTCATCTTCGGTATCAACAACGTGCCAAACCGTGACCCCAGAGAGTGTAAACTGGAGGATAACAACTATGTGATCTACTCCTCCGTCTGCTCTTTCTTTATCCCCTGCCCCATCATGGTCTTGTTATATTTTGGGGTTTTCCAATCCCTGAAGCGGTGGGAGGAGGCCCGGAAGGCCAAACTACGCTGCAGCATTGAGGCTTGCAGGAAGCTGCAGCAGACCACCATGGCCCTTCCCCCAATGACAGGGACCATTCCTGGGGCCCTGCCCATGCCCTTGCCCAGGATCATCGAGAGGGACCTAGCTCAGTCTCGGATGGACGACTCGGGTGACTACATCCAGCAGGAGATTCCTTACCCTCGACAGTATAGGGAAAACTCTTTGCCAACAGTGAGGTTCCAGCAGCAAAATGTCAAGAAGAGGGCAAAGATCAACAGCAGGGAGAGGAAAGCTATGAAGGTCCTACCTGTTGTAGTGGGTGAGTAAATAAATAATCAAATAACCAACCCGGTGTGGACAGTTTAATCTGTTTCTTCTCCATGTTAGCCCCGTCCTTTACCATGATACACAAGCACGATCACCAGGTTCCAATGTAAGTTCATCCATTCATCTAGCTTTTGGAGGTATGACCACTCCTTTAAGGCCAATTTGTGGTGGAAGCTGAGGCCTCCTAAAACATAGTCTTCTTGACTGTGGTTGCCTTCTGGGTAACTTTGATTTGAGGTTTTCCGTGCACGTATCACTCAGAACAGACCCAAGGATAGAGCCTGAATGCCCCAGAAGGACTGTATATTGTTTCTGGTCTGAAAAAGCCTTTGAAGCATCCAAATGAGCGTCAGAATGTTGCTGGATTGAGAGATGTCTGGGTTCCCATTCTGGACTTGTTAGTTTTAACCTGGACAATCAAAAGGCATACAACTGAAATTTTCATGTATTTCATACAGCCCAACTTTTCCTCAACTGGTGCAGACACTGGAACCTTTAAGTAGCTAAAAAGATGAAGTCTTGATAATTAAATCTAAGTGTTTCTAGTAGTAGTTCTGAGTTAGGGTTTGGTTAAAAAGCTTTTTTTATACAAATGGAAAAATGGTATCCAGTGATCTTTAGTTTTGGTTGTGTTTTTTGTTGCGTGTTCTTACCATTTTATATCCGGAACTTGGTCAAAAGTGCAATGCTAAAATGGTCAGACTTTGTCCGCACCCTTTTTGCGTAAATCTGGCCCTTAAATTAAGTGCAAACTAAGCTTCAGTGTTGTGGTAATGCCCCAGATAGCAAGCCATATGGGCCATAGTGAACTTCCTCTTATCAAGCTAAATATTTACATCTGGTTTGTGAATCGGTTCAGAGCTCTTAGTGTTAAAGCTTTAGAATCAGCAAGGAGGGTGACCTTCCTCCGGGTCATTCTGAGTCCCAGGATAAAAGCAGCGCTCCTGACCAACCATAGCTCTTCATGCAGTGCTGCTACAGCTTAAAGCTTCCAATCCAATTATCCCACAACACATGATGTTAAACTCAGACTGAGGAAACAGCCTTAGATCCACTTATCGGCTGATTTGAAATTAGTCTATTTTGTTTCACAATTATCACACTGAGAGTAGTACAATTTCCTTTTACATTTAAAAACGTTATTTGAGTGCAAACCAGTCTAAACCAAGGTAAGATCATAAAACCTTTCAGAACTATAAATGACTAAAACATGCAGTTGAACAGGTGCAGCCAAACAGAAGCAAATGCCAACAGAGCATAAATAATCAAAGGAAAACTAAAACATGAAACCAAATGATGTTCCAAATTATTCAGCAGGGCCTGATGAACTGATGGAAAATGAAAAGCAGTTTCAGACAAAACAAATCAGCAGTAAGTTTACCCAATGGCTTAGCTGAGTGTGCAACCTTCTTTAGTAGCAGTACCCCTTAGCAATTGTTTTCTGTCTGACTTTTAATGTGGAGGAGATCTTTCCAGTATTGTCATTTTTTGAGGTTTATGGACTTTTGTTTTGGCATGTCTCTCTTAAGGTTTAGACCTGAGGTGTGGACTTGGATTAGGTCATTGTAACCGCTTTTTTTTTTTTTTTGACTTTAATTGACTTTTTTAACAGATTGAACTCCAATGTGTTTTGAAGCTTTTTTCTACAGAGGAGTTTGTGGTCCACTAAAATCAATCCCACATCCTCACCCCTCCCTTATCATGCTTGAACTTAAAGTGTTTTCTGATGTTTGATTCTCTTTGTAAAATGAGACGTTTAGAATCTCTGTTTTGGCCTCGTCTTTTCTATTAAATTTTTTTTAGAATCAGGATCATTGCTGATGTCTTTCCATCTTGGCATTGTTTTAACACACCTGTGTGAATAAATTCCTGTGAGAGCAGGGATATGATGGGCCAGAGGATCAGAAGAACCTTATAGTGTACTGCATCAATTTGATGTCAAAGACCCATTTAACTGGAGCACTTTCCCAAATAATATACATCATTTCATGCTTTAAACTTGAATGTTTGACATTTATTTGCAGATATATTCAGCATCCTAAATACTTATTGGGAATATTAAACAACTCATTTTTAAAACAGATACAATGTATAGAATTGTTCGGATGTTTTTTTAATATTCTAAATAATTGATCAGATTTCCTACATCCAGATTTTTTTGATGTTACATGATGTTACCTCTGACTTTCCCCCTCCTCTCCCTCTTACAGGCTGCTTCTTGTTGTGTTGGACGCCATTCTTCGTGGTGCACACGTTGAAAGCTCTTTGCCTGAAATGCAACATTCCCAACGCGCTGACGAGCACCTTCACCTGGCTGGGTTATGTCAACAGCGCCCTCAATCCCATCATCTACACCATTTTCAACACAGAGTTCAAGAAGTTCTTCAAGAAATGTTTCCGCAGCTGCTGCTGACACCAATTTACCTCCACAGACTCATTAAACTGAACGAACATAGAAGGTCGGGTTTGATTTACAGCATATACCTCCTGACTGGGAAGTGTGACGTTACCACTTTCCAGCAGGACCTGAAACAAAAGGAAGAGCATTTTGTTAGGAAAGTTCAGGTTTCATCTCCGAACCATTTTGGTTTTATGTAAAATAAAAGCTGACTTTGTTAGGTCTGAAATAAAGATTGGATTTTACCTGTTTCGAAGTTCTGTTGGAGGATTCTTTACTGAAGAACACCACAGTCTGGAATGATCATCTTAGGGCAACTCCTCAATCCAAAAAAGGCTTGTGTTCACTTTTAAAGACCTAGACTGGTTATACTGATGCTAGGGAATAAGACAGACCTGACTCCATAAGTTCCTATGATGGGTTTGGAACTACAAATGGTTAAGGTTCAGATTAATGTACAAAAAGTCCTTTCAATTCTGATAATGGACACTTCAAAGGGCATTATCTTTTTTACTGTTAGGAATGTACATTTTGTACAAGAAGTGGCTGAATGGACTACTTTATCTCTCTTGTTGTGACTTGTTGGCAAGGTAACCAGCCCTGGCCCGCAGTTATACAACTGCTAATTTCAGAGATTAATTAATTAATTTGAACAATGATTTAGAACAATCTGGCTAATTGACCGAAACTTTTTCATAGATGTTCTATAACACTTTTTAAAGGACATCCTTCAGCCAGCCAGAATCGAGTATTCACCCTCACTATGTTATAAGTACGTAAGTCAGGACATCAGCCTTCAAAGACTACAGCTTTAGGCCTGGTAAACGTTTTTTTGGGTGGTACACCATGATCACTATCTAGGGATGCAAGTTATCGATTAATGAGTTAATCTTAAGTTGATCTTATCTTAACAATGCATTGATAAATTTCCATTTTCTTAACAAAAAAACAGTCTTCATTTGTATCAAGAGATCCTTTCCAAACCATAAACACTGATTTTTTGTTTTTGTTTGTTTTTTTACAATTTGCTAAAATAAAAAAACGAAAAATCAGTATTTCTTTTATAGCAATGTTGCTAAGGCTGGATCAAATACTGACTGAATAGATGGAAAATTTAGCTTTTCTGACACAATTTTAAACAATAACATCAATAAAATACGCCAAAATTATAACATTTTAGTCTGTTAGATAAAGAATTTACAAGGATAAAATAAAAGATGTGAAACACATATATTCTCCCATGAACTGAGATGTAAAACTATCGTTTAAAGACAGGTACGTCACTCTGACATACTGTTAGACTTAAGTTGCCTTTTTGTTTTAGTAAAACAGTGTGATTCAATAATCATTGTTGGGAGAGACATTTGCATCACCAGCCATGTTTCTAAATGGGTTCTAATCGTTATCCTCGAAGAATTGTTTAACTTGTCTTTGTTAAGTGCATTAATTCACCAAAGCCCTCCCAATCTACTGTGCTTATTGGTGTTATGCTTTTTCCTATCGTGTTTTAAATATGCTGTGTAATGCCCTTCGATTTTCTGTCATCAAATTGTCACCTTCCTACTGCATTGGTAATTTTTGGGTAAAAAAGGCAATGGTGTTCCACTATGCAGCACAGCTGAATTAAAATTATTTAGGTGGTTATAAACCTGTTGATGTCAGTCTCCAGAATGTAGAACCCAGAATTTAGGCAGACAGAACGGAAGTCATTTCAAAAAAGCGTTTACTTACTGCTTAATTATCTCGTCAGCAGGGACAGCGTGAGTGGAATCCCTGTAGAGGTAGAAACTCAGGTTAGTGACCACGAAACTCTGACGGGGAAAGATCGCGAGCATGTGAGTCATTAAGCTGGTTTAAGTTCAGTCTGATCCCAGAGGAAGCAGTGGAATCTAGCCGGATGATTTCTCCACATCATGCGGCGGGAGCCACATAGAGAGTTCCAGGAGTTGAAGCAGGATGATGAGCAGAAGCCAGCAGACGAAGAAGAGGAGAAGTTTCTGCAGGGGAAATCAAAAGTCGGTGTCGATCCAGAAGCAGATGTCCAGACCAGAGGATCAGAGATCCAAAGACGTACCTAAGGGAAATCCAAGCCGGGGTCAGGGGACAGATCCGAAGTCATTAGCAGGCAGAATTCAAAAAGCATTCCGAAGACAGGTCAGGCAAAACAGATCAGAACGGGGGCAGGCAAGACTCAGAAGTCCAGGAGCAGAAACTAGTCAGGATATTTGTACAAATGTTGAGAGCCATTCGCTTCCTTTATTCCACCTTTCAGATTACACTTCTTTCGTGTCAATCCATCAGAACATTAATGTTCATGGCCATTAAATGAAAAAGGTTAAATTGTCTTTCTGGTAAGTGTTCACATATCATGTTCTGGTGTAGTTTACAGTTATGCTCATGGAAATTCTCCAGATGTCATACATCCTGCAAGGTTTTTCTTAGGAATCTATCCATACCTGGAGCCTTAACTTTGGGTACACCCAGGACGGGTCAACAATTCCTCACTGAGCAACACAAAGACACAGGGATGTACACAGATTCCCAATTATCTAAGGAAAATTAAGAGACACCAACTGACCTGATTGAAATAATTTGGAGGAAGCCGGAATACCTGGAGAGAAAAAAAATCACAAGCAAAAGGAGAACATGTAAACTCCATGCAGAATATCTCCAGCTCAGAATTCAGACTCAGGACTGCCTGCAGCTCCAAGAAAATACATGAAAAACAAAATAATTAATTTCCTGCTTTATTTTGTTTTTGTAGTCTCAGTTGTCTGCATCCGTATCATCACTAGCAGTCAACGGGGGCTTCTGGGTCCTGAACAAAGTGACAACGCACCAGTAGAGCTTTGAAAGATTGATAATATTAATTGTGCATGTGTCTCTACCAGCAGCTCTATAATTTAGGGAGTTAGTTAGTTTGTAATTATCTTGTGGGCCAAATATACCTGCAGGCCTGATATCTATGGTTTTGGGGTATCTAATTAATGTTTATGAATCTCACTTGGCATCAACAAGTTAATACTAATTATTTTAGCTTTTCTTTTTACTGTCCCAAATAAATGGGCCACTGATCATGGTTCAATCCCACTTTGTTTTGCTATTTGGTAATAGTGAAAGCTTCATAAGCACTGGGGCCCATTGTTCTACATCAACTTGTCTAAGATTTTAAGCCCCAAAGCAGGTTTTACTAACAAACTTTTTGATTAATTGTTATTGAACACAGCCACAAAGAGACATTTGTAAATCTAGAATAAAAGGAATAGAAAACTTTAACGTAATTGGAGAAATTGGTGTAGAAATTTCCAAAACATGCATGTACCAGTTTGAACCAATAGGAATTTGACTGCAATAGCCAATGTTCACCAAGCATAACTGACCTGCCATTGGTCACACAACATTTCAGCTCCCTTTTCGGACACTGCTGTGAAATTCTGCCAAGCTCACTTACCTGGTCATCAAATAGGGGGAGTGTCAACCGCTTACTGGTGCTACATCATATTATTGACACAATAATATGATGTAGAACAAATCATGGTGTAACTGTAGTAATCTTTTAACTTACTATGGCTAAAAACAAGTCATAGCACTTTATGTGATATGGAAAGTCAAACAAATTCACCTCCAGTTGGATCAGGGCCACCACCTGCTTCAGGAGCTGCATCCAGAACTGCTTGTGGAAATACTTCCATCTATCCAGGACCAAGTATAGAGAAATGCTCTGCTGCTGCTGCTGCAGGAAGATAGGTTATCCTGCTACGTTTGATTTTAAACTTTTAAGGCTTTATCTCCACTGCACCATTGTCTGGCTTTGTACTATCAGAACAAAGCCAGTCCCTGATTGGTTAACACAACCCAAAGAAACAGAGAAGTTTAAACTCTTCTTTGCTCCCTTCATATGTCTAACGCATTACTCTGATTGCCAAATGTGCTTTTGAAACGCTTCCCTCACCTTACCTGTTGTTTAGTCATTACTGAACCTCCCTTTAGGGCAGGACTAAGACAGTTTTAGGTTAAGTTAGCATAAGTTACATGTGCACTTTCACACTCGCCTGTTCTCATTCCAACCTTCAGTTATACTGTCTGCCAGCTTGTTGTTTGGTCTGCCAATACAAATTTTAACCAAACATTAAACTCATCTGTCCAGAAGAAAAGCAGAAAATTCTATGTAGATTCTAAGGCCCTTTGCTTCCTTAACTTGGCACCAGCGCTCAAAACAACATTTTCCCTTCTTTTCCTTCTTTTTTGCTCCTCTTGAATCTGAGAAAAATGTTGCTGAGGAGAGGCTATTTTTCCTAGGTATCGATGACCAACTAGGATCTGGCAGCTCCGGAGTCCTAGATCAGTCTTCAGCTTACTATTCCTCTTGGTACAGAATTTTTCATGTTGATGTTGGCATATTAACCAGAAATAAATGTTTATATATTTTTGACCCATCAGCACCTTATCTACAATTTGTTCTTGTTTTTCACGAAATTATACTTTTATTTTGAAATAATACTTTTATTTTGCAACACTAGAAGTTTTGTGGATGTATTATTTTTGAAAATAATTTTGATGTAAAAGTTCAAGCCGGGGCTTTAAACTATAAAATAGATGAGTTTTATTTAATGGTCTTAGTTGACAAAATTAATCTAATTGAATTGATTTCAAAATTATAAAAAAAAAACAAAGCTAGGCCTTTGGCCATGGAGCTCCAGCATTCTTTGCTCTTAATGCTCAAACCACACAACCCTCCTGTGGGAATTTATATTTTGCTTTATAAGGGAAGATTTTTAAGACTAACCATTATAAATTGGAATTAAACAATACTAAAATCTTAAACAGTCAAATTCATATTTATTAGTAGTCAAATCTTTGCATCTACATTTGATCAGAATCATGTGGCAACACAAACATCTCTATACAGTGCATCAGAAAATGAATATCCCATAATCAGCTTGGCTATAAAGGGCTTTGCAGACCTCCTTATCCAGGTTGACCATCTGCCTTTGTAAAAACATCTGAGAGTTAAA